AATTATCTATGTGAGCTCAAACTGACAATAGCAACTCAAAGGTTTGATGGGAAGCCTAGGGGACAGTGAGTTGAAGATAATGGTGATGGAATAATTTGGAAAAGGATAGTGAGAATAGCAGCACAACTTGAAGAATGTAATCAACGTCACTGAATTGTACACGTAGAAACTTTTGAAATGGTGTAACTTTGGCTATGTATATTTCCACCAAAAAAAGGGTCCTCCAAGGTTGAGAAGGGAGAGTGTTGACATGATGTGGGGTTGTTAACCAATGTCATAAAACAGTATGTGTACTGACTGTTTAATGAGAAACTATTTGTTCTGTAAACCTTCATCTAAAGCACAATAAAAAAAATTAAAAAAAAAAAAAGAATAGGAAGTTTTTTGCTTTGTCCTTGATAGGTTTCTATGGCCCAAAAGAAAACTGTTTTTATTTTTTTGATAGCAGCCACATACTGGGCTACCTCTGAACTATTTTAAAAGTTTTTAAAAGAAAGATACCACACAAATCAACAATTCTTAGATGGCTACTCTTAATATTTCTATATAGCAATGGCCATATTAACAAACAATCTAGTTATATAATCTAATTAGATTTACTATTTGTGCAATGGTCATTTATTTGAAGCATAATCATTGTCAGTTGATTTTGTAAGTACTTCCCATGCCTCTTTAAAGGAAAATGATAAAGTATTAGCTCACTGGCTGACAAGGCCAAGTTGAGGCCACGGGCCAAACTAATTTACCACACCCTGTCACTCCCTGCTCTCCTGGCCCATGAACATTAATAAACATATCCATGTCTAGTAAGTAAAAAGTAAGGCAAAAGCCACAGTTATCAGGATATAACTCAAGAATTTTCTAGTAAGAGATTTCAGAAAGTGTGCATATTAATGAAACAAACCAATATGCTAATACTGTTTTCAAATAATTTCAGTCCTATAGACTTTTCTGCAAAGAAAATGTTGTGAAGAATTTCAACATGAAAAGAAAGAATGGTGGGCTGCACTAGATGAAATAGCACCCAGAACCTTACCCACTCAGCCTGCACATAACCACCCACCCCAATGCCTACCCCAGAGTCTGGAAGCATTATTTGGAAAACCACAGTACAAGTACACACTGGTTCCGTTGTTATCTTTGGTTAAAATAATACCTCTTGTTCTGGTTCGTCATCCAGAAGGTCAAAATGTTTTTTTACTACCCGTCCAGAAGCTGTAACAGTGAATAAGTTTTCATTCTATCATAAAGAGAAAAACAAGAAGATATGAAAAGTTTTAATTATATGAAGTCAATCGCAAAATTGCAATAACAAATTTGGTAAAATGATCCAACCCTTCTCCAAATTCATAATTCTTTCCTCAACTGAGAAAATTCTGAATCAGATTTCTGATTCTCTAAGTTAGTAAAAATGCTTCATTACAGTAAAGTTTTTTTTAATGGCTAAAATACCAAAATATGCACCCCCCCCAAAAGGTTATAGATTTGGTGTTTCATTCAGCCCCCTGACTTTTGCCCTAGTACAACAACAACATAGTATATCAAGTAAAAAGTGGATCTGCTTTTAGGAATTTCCCTCCCCACCATTTTCTTCATGCTTTTTAATTTGTACACTAAAGGCCAAGTACAGTCTAAAGTCAAAGCATGGCATGTGATTTTTTAAAGACTTATATATACACCAACTAACCCTAAGTTTGGAGCCCTAGTGGTGAAGTGATTGAGAGCTCAGCTGCTAACCAAAAGGTTGGCAGTTCAAATCCACCAGCAGCATCTTGGAAACCCTATGGGGCCGTTCTACTCTGTCCTATAGGGTTGCTATGAGTCAGAATCGACTCGACAGCAATGAGTTTTTTAACCCTAAATTTACATAATTAATGAAGACCCAAATGTTGATAATTCATCAAAAAAAAAAAAAAAAAACAAATAAAAACCCAGACAGGAAATAAAAATAAGCAAAACATAAATTCTACATAACCAACGCTTTTCAAATCTCATACGTACATGGGATATGAGGCTGGCTACCCATGTAGACAAAATGCACAGACTACTATAGGGTTGCGCTGTTCTTTTTCAGTCACACTCAAGGGCAAATACAGTTGCATATTATATTTTTATGTAAAAAGATAGTAATATATAAAGGATTTTAAGTATTCCTGACTTACTTTGTTCTTCTCCCTGTTGGCCAAAATGACAAAATCTTCAGAGATCTGATGCTGGAAACTATTTTCTATTTCATTTAGCTTTAAAACTCTGAAAAGGGAAAAACAATTCTAAGAATCTAAGACTTAAATACACCATCAAGTGCCAAAGTCAGCAAATGAACATTATACGAACAACACTTAGTTCTCTTTTCCTCTTGATTAGTCAGCAATATTAACTTGCCTGATCACTGAAATGTCCATAAACTTCTTCAAATTCAGAGATTTTTTTTTAAACAGTAAAACGAAGAAACTGTGACAAGTGCTACTAAAACAGGTAATGAAGCAGTTTGCTCAGGCCTATGCCACTGTCCAGACTGGTTTAATGAAAGTTACTCCAAAGAACTTTCTCTCTGCCATTCTGCAACAAGTCTTTAATATTTCAGCTTTAACAATGACCTTATAGTAGATAACTGCATTTTTATTTCTGAAGATAAAATGCAGTATCTATGAACATTTCAAGTTTAGTAGAAGGCAGATTGGATCAGCAACTAAGAGTTTTCAATGACAGAGTAATATTTAAACTGCAACTGATTTAATAATTTTTCCCCCTTAGGATTATATTTAAAGATTTGGGTTTTCTAAGTGCACACTGCCTCATAGGATCAAGCTTACTATGCAAGAGAAAATAAAATAATTTGTTCACCACCCACATAAATCTGTGCACATCATTAACAAGCTTCAAAAATACAACGTTCTATCTAGCTCAATTGGCATGACACAGCTTATAAAGACAATGCTCTACATTCTACCTTGGTGAGTAGTGTCTCGGGTCTTAAAAGCCTGTGAGCGGCCATCTAAGATACTCCACTGGTCTCATC